TCAGCTGGTTCATCTGGTTATCAGTTGGAAATTCCTCAGGGAGGGGGTACTTTATATATGCTTCCATTAGGTAAAGTTAGTAAACAGCATGGGATACATTTTCATTGTTATGCTGATGACACAATTATATTTGTCCATGAAACCCAATGAATCCAATCAGCTACTTAGACTACAAGCATGTCTTAAAAACATAAAAACCTGGATGACCCACAATTTTCTCCTTTTGAACACAGACAAGACTGGGGTTTTGGGATTTGAACCTGAGCATCTTAGGGATGAATTTTTCAGTCTTTCTCCCTCCTTAGTTGGCATTAATCTGTCCTCCAGCTCTAATGTTAAAAATCTTGGTGTTATTTTTGATCAGGACATGTCTTTTATCCCCCACATTAAAAACGTTACTAGAACCACCTTCTTCCACCTGCGTAATATCACTAACATTAGAAACATCTGATCTAAAAATGATGCAGAAAAACTGGTCCATGCATTTGTCATGTCTAGACTGGACTATTGCAATGGTTTATTATCTGGGTGTCCAAATACTTCTTAAAAACGTCTTCAGTTGATCCAAAATGCTGCTGCCAGAGTTTTAACTGGAGTTAGTAGGACAGATCATATCTCTCCAGTTTTGGCTTCTCTCCATTGGCTCCCTCTCAAATCCAGAATTGAATTCAAAATCCTACTTCTAACTTACAAAGCTCTCAACAACCTATCTTCTTCTTATATTACAGATCTTATTGTTTCATATTTTCCTAACGGAGCACATCGCTCTCAGGCTGCAGGTTTACTTGTGGTTCCTAGAATTTACAAAAACAGAATGGGATGCAGATCTTTCAGTTATCAGGCTCCTCTCTTGTGGAACCAAATTCCAATCTCTGTCCGTGAGTCAGTTTTAAGACTCATGTTTTTTTTTTGTTGTTTTTTTTTGGCTAAATCCGATAGTTAGGGTCGGCTTGCGTTTCCTGAGCTGCCCCTTAGTTATGCTACTATAGGCTTAGACTATCAGGTCTCTCTTGTAAATGAGTCATCGAGGCTCAATGGGATTTACCTGTCTAAATGAAGGTTGCATGAATAGACTGCTGGAGGACAAACTGACCACAATTTTCACTCTGCTACCGTCTTTACTTACTCTTCTCAACCTGTTTTGTATTTGTAATTATTTTTTCTATCCTTAACATGTGTTTTTGTCTTTCAGGTACACCTGGACCTATATCTGGACTTACTATTCTGTGCTTGTTTGTCTCTCCTTCCTGTCCTCTCAAACCAGCCGGTCAAAGCAGATGGCCACCTGTCCTGAGCCTGGTTCTGCTGGAGGTTTCTTCCTGTTAAAAGGGAGTTTTTCCTTTCCACTATTGCCATTGTGCTTGCTCAGGATGAGAGACTGCAATGAAGCCAAGATCCAACTTGTCTGCTGCTTCCTTACTTAGAGAACACTAATTGGTCTTTATGTATGTGAATGTTTCTGTAAAGTGCCCTGAGACAACTTTGTTGTGATTTGGCGCTATATAAATAAACTGAATTGAATTGAATTGAAAGTGTCCTGGTTTGATCCACCATCTGAATCCCAGAAAGACGAGTGATCTGGTGCCCTCATGCTGACCTGGTAAGGAGCAGAACCTGGTGACATTATAGCTAATGCATCTTAGCAAATCATTTCCTGGCTTGCAGTGAAAATAAATGACTATCTGGTCACATTACATAACTTCTTTCAAACAAAATCCAAAGCAAACTATTAATTAAAATAATCAAACTCTTTTCTAAATTCATGCACATATGTAACCTGAAATAATTCCTGCTCAAAGAGCAGAGCAAGATTTGTCTTAGATAAGATAATTAAGCCTTGATTGATTCATTATTATTGTATGTTTATTATTGTTGTTGATTCTTAGTTTGATTATTTTTGTAATTAAATTTCAAAGACAACTTTGGTCTTTTCATTCGGATTGCTATTCATTTATTATGGTATGAGACTCCCTGTAATTAACCGATTCTTCTACAGTGACTGAGTTCTGATTATTAAAGGGTGAATATATTAATTAGTTGTTGATCAGTAAACTGACCAGCTGGTACCCTGCTTTAACGAATGGAAAAATAAATAAAACCAAATGCAGTGGAGTGGAGAAAGTGTCATCCTTCTTCCATCTCACTTCATAATTGCTACATGAGCGGTGAGATGCCATGTTCCATGCTTTCATCATTGTTTGTAATCTTTCTGGAATGGGTCCTTTCAAGTAAAATGCTGGTTAAAAATCTTCTCCTACCATACATTGTGGTTCTGTTTAAGTAAGATTAGGCAAGAATAGTTTTTTTTCCAACACATACTTTAAAAAATAGTGTGTATTTTTAAAATACATTTTACTTAATTGAGGTAAACGTATTGTGCAAGCAATGTTGTTTTCCTATTATGTTTACAGAATAAAAATGTATTTTTGGACAATTCAGTTAGAGATGATCATGCTACAGATTATAAACTGATTTACATCCTAACATAATGTCTCACTTTTCTCTGGGCCTCCATTCTCACTGTATGGGTAATTGTTACATTACATGATTACATGTATACTTTCATTCAGCTTATACCCATCTGGAGGTCTAATCAGCTAGAGTAGTTCTAATTATCCTGTTGTATATGCATAATGGTAGCATTCATGTCAGTGTACCAAGGTTGTCTAGAAATACTCCATTTAACTCTGATTAAATTGACATTTTGGTGTGAATTTACAGCCTGTCGTTGCTGGTACTCTTTTCTATGCTATTTTCTTTACAAGTCTGAGCTGCGTGATTATGACAGTCAGTACGTGCAGGCTCAAAAATGTCTCATCTGAGACTTTTAGACAATGACTGCATGACCAAACATGAAACAAATTCACAATAATTTTTGTATTTTGTTTAATTATAAGAAATATTTTCATACTACAAAAAATATATATTTTTCACCCACTGTGACAACCCAGCAAACAAAACACAGCTGTCGGGATGCAATTCAGTTATGGGCGATTCCACCTTCTGCACCACTCGAGCAGCCACAGAGTTAAGTGTATATGATAGAACAGTGATTGTATTACAATCGTGAATTTATTGACTTTTTGGAGTCTTTCCAACTTCAGGGTGAGAGGCCAAAAGAACAAACAAAACAATCTATCCTGACAGCCTGATGCATGCTCAATAATCCTGGTAGAAAAATCCAAAAAAATTAAATTTGGTCCTCTGGACATTCAAAAAAACAAAACAAAAAAAAAATTGTAGAAACGTTTCGTCTTTCATCCGAAAGACTTCCTCAGTCTGAGGTGTTATATTCAGCTCAGTCTTATAAATAGCACCTTCTCATAGTGGATCAACCAGTTTGCTGTTGACAACCAAAACCAGCTGATCACATGCTCAAGAAGGACCATCAGCCTAACAATGGATTAGCACACAGTAACAGCCATCAGTGTGCTAATGATCCATTGTTAGGCTGATGGTCCTTCTTGAGCATGTGAGCAGCTGGTTTTGGTTGTTAGCAGCAAACTGGTTGATCCACTCTGAGAAGGTGCTATTTAAGAGACTGAGCTGAAAACAGCACCTCAGACTGAGGAAGTCTCTTGGATGAGATCCTTCTCAGAGTGGATCAACCAGTTTGCTGCTAACAACCAAAACCAGCTGATCACATGCTCAAGAAGGATCATCAGCCTAACAATGGATCATTAGCACACTGATGGCTGTTTGCTATTCACAGGGGGCTAAGTGATACTAGCAATAACAGCATTATAAGAGGGGGACAGTTGAACACTGAGGCCTCCACCCCTGTTTAATGATGGACAGTTTATTTTCACAAAGATGGCCTCCTTTACTCCTCTCTCAAACCATCGTTCCTCTCTATCAAGGATGTGAACATCTTCATCCTTGAAAGAGTGACCACTGGCCTGGAGATAAGTGTAGACCGCAGAGTCCTGGCCTTATGATGTTGATCTTCTGTGCTGGGCCATCCTTTTATCCAGTGGCTGTTTAGTTTCCCTGATGTAAGACTGATCACAGCCCTTCTGACTCTGAACAGCATACTCAATATTACTCTGTTTGTGCCAGGGGACTGGATCTTTGGGATGAACCAGTCTTTGCCGTAATGTATTTTGGGGTTTAAAAGCCACTGGGACATTATGTTTAGAAAATAAACGCCTCAGTTTCTCTGATACTCCCTCAACATATGGAATGACCACTGGTCTGGATCTGGGTTCCTCCTTTTCACCTGATGGCTGGATGGAGTCCTTTTTTGGGTTTCTTCTCTGCATTCAGGAAGGCCCAGTTAGGATATCCACATTGCTCTAGAGCCTGTCTTGTGTGGGATTTCTCCTTCTGCCTGTCTCCTGAGTTAGTGGGGACGCTGTCTGCTCTGTGGTACAAAGTCCTGATGACTTCTAACTTGTGCTCCAAAGGGTTATGGGAGTCAAACTGCAAATATGATCTGTGTGGGTGGGTTTGCATGCTGCTGTTCGGCGTAATGTTTTTTATGCTACTAGTGCTTAGTGTATATTTGATGTTTTTCTTAGTTCATATCTTAGATCTTATTACTGTTTTTCTTTTACATATTTTGGATGTAACTGGGACCTTGTGTACACAATTTTGTTCCACCACATGTACCACGTGGGGTGCAAATGACAAATGAAGAACCTTGAATTCTTGAACATTTTTATCACTGTTATTTTAACAAAATAGTGATTAGTTTCCCTGATGTGATTTAATGTGAATAATACACATTCATTTATCTTGTATTTTTAACAATCAAAATTTTATTAATAAACCACTTAAACTGTCAAACTGATTTGCAATTTAGTCGTGCTGTTTAATTGATTTAAAAAAAATATTTTTTAATAAAAATGCGCATTGACTTTGGACTTTTAGAGGTGGAGATTTGAGTGACTGGATCCAAGCAAACATTTGTCGGAACACACCCTGTCAAAATAAGAGTTCCCGGATCTTGCTGTGGCAGGATTCGACTCAAATTAAGCACAGACTGTATGTGTTTGTAGGTACCATGTATGTGTTGCCATCCTGATCTACTTCCTTCCTCTGCTGGTGATGGGTTGTGCTTACCTGGTAGTGGGACTAACACTCTGGGCCAGTGAAATCCCTGGAGACTCTTCAGACCGCTACAAGGAGCAGCTGAATGCCAAGCGAAAGGTAAGCTCACATATTTTGAATGAATTCAACACCATCCATACATCCATCCATGAAGTCTTCTTCCGCTTATCCGGGGTCGGGTCGCGGGGGTAGCAGCTTAAGTAGGGAGGCCCAGACTTCCCTCTCCCCAGCCACTTGGGCCAGCTCCTCCGGAGGAATCCCAAGGCATTCCCAGGCCAGCCGAGAAACAATAGCCCCTTATCCACAGGGCCTTTTGGGGCTCCTATGTAAATAGTTTAGGCCGATTGCGTGGTTTATCCACAGTGCCTTCAGTGGTGGAACCCACCCCATTTTTGGGACCTACTTCTCTGAGGTCCCAGGTCTGGTTCTTATTGGGTCTAGATGTGACATCAGCGCACTTTAGGTCACTGATTGGTCAGGGGGCTTTTTCATTGGTGGAGGGCGGAGATCAATGAGGTCATCCATTTTGGTTGTGTGTTGTTTTCCGGCTCTTCTTCTTCTAATACATGTTAGTGGTGCTTAGAAAAGAGCTTAATGTAGCACTAGCGCCACCAGCTGGTAAGGTGCATTGATATTAATAATCCGCCCACTAAAAGGTGAACAATCTGCCCACTAAACGGGAACTATGGGCACTGTGGAGACAGAAAAAAAGAGGTCCCACCAGAACCGGACACAACAGGGTCCAACAAGAACCAGCCCTGTGGATAAGGGGCTATTGTCCCTCCAGCATGTCCTGAGTCTTCCTCTGGGTCTCCTCCCGGTGGGACGTGTCCAGAACACCACACCAGGGAAGTGTCCAGGAGGCATCCTAACCAAATGCCCGAGCCACCTCAACTGGCTCCTCTCAACGTGGAGAAGCAGCAGCTCTACTCTGAGTCCCTCCCAGATGATCGAGCTTCTCACCCTATCTCTAAAGAAGAGCCCAGACACCCTGCGGAGAAAACTCATTTTGGCCGCTAGTATACGAGATCTCGTTCTTTCGGTCACAACCCAAAGCTCATGACCATAGATGAGGGTAAGAATGTAGATCGATCAGTAAATTGAGAGCTTCGCCTTTGGACTAGGCTCTCTCTTCACAACGAAAGACCTGTAAAGTGCCCGCTTCAATGCAGACGCTGCAACTATCTGCCTATCAATCTCACGTTACATTTTCCCTCATTCGTGAACAAGACCCCAAGATACTTGAACTCCTCCACTTGGGGCAGGACCTTCTCCCTGACCCAAAGAGGGCACTCTACCCATTTCCAGCTCAAGACCATGGCCTCGGACTTGGAGGAACTGATCCTCATCCCGGCCGTGTCGCACTCGGCTGCGAACCGCTCCAGCGAAAGCTGTAGATTACGATCTGATGAAGCCAGTAGGATCACATCATCTGCAAAAAGCAGAGACGCAATCCTAAGGCCACCAAAACGGATCCCCTCAACACCTTGGCTGCACCTAGAAATTCTGTCCATAAAAGTTTTATGAACAGAATTGGTGACAAAGGGCAACCTTGGCGGAGTCTACTCTCACCGGGAACAAGCCCGACTTACTGCCAGCAATGTGGACCAGGCTCTGTCACCGGTCATACAGGGACCTAACAGCCCGTATCAAAGGGCCCGGTACCCCATACTCCCAGAGTATCCCCCACAGGGTTTCCTGAGGGACACGGTCGAACGCCTTCTCCAAGTCCACAAAGCACACGTAGACCGGTTCAGTAAACTCGCACGCACCCTCCAGGACCCTGCTGAGTGTAGAGCTGGTCCAGTGTTCCACGACCAGGACGAAAATCGCACTGCTCCTCCTGAATGCGAGGTTCGACTATCCGACGGACCCTCCTCTCCAGAACCCCCGAATAGACCTTACCAGGGAGGCTTAAGAGCGTGATACCCTGTAGTTAGAACAATAATAATAATAATAATAATAACTTTTATTTATAATGCACTTTACATTCACAGTGAATCTCAAAGTGCTACAAAGAGTGAACATCAGATAGCAGCAGGATAAAAGCAACCATAAAAGCAACCGAGAGCAAAACAACCAGGAGGATAATGCCTCAGAATGAACACATAAAAAAAAAACTTAAAATGCACAAAATGCAGATAAAATACTCAAGAACCATGGGTGAATTAAAAAAAAACGTACAGTGCAATCAATTAAAAAACTGGGTAAAAAGAAAGGTTTTAAGACCCTTTTTAAAACATGTCACGGTCTGTGGAGCCCTCAGACATAAAGGCAGGGCGTTCCACAGCCGAGGGGCAGCGCAGGAGAAAGCCCGGTCTCCTGTTGTGCAGGATCAAGACCTGGGAGTGAGAAGAAGATGAGTGTTGGAAGAGCGGAGAGTGCGTGAAGGACAATGAGGGGTGAGAAGTTCTTTTAAATAAGATGGTGCATTACTGTACAAGCATTGGAAGGTGAGCAGATAAATTTTGTAAGTGATCCGGGCAGAAACAGGAAGCCAGTGAAGTGAACGGAGTACAGGGGTGATGTGCTCATGCTTACGCACTCTCATCAGAACCCTGGCAGTGCTGTTCTGGACATACTGTAGTACTGTAGGAACACACTCTACAGTCCCCCTTTTTGAATAGGGGGACCACCACCCCAGTCTGCCAATCCAGGGGAACTTCCCCCAATGTCCACGCAATGCTGCAGAGTCACGTAAGCCAACACAACCCTACAACATCCAGAGCCTTAAGGAACTCCAAGCGAATCTCATCCACCCCTGGGGCCCTGCCACTGAGGAGCTTTTTAACCACCTCGGTGACCTCAGAATCTGAGATTGGAGGGCCCGACCCAGAGTCCCCAGGCTCCGCTTCCTCAGTGGAAGATGTGCCGGTGGGATTGAGGAGGTCATCAAAGTATTCTGCCCCACCGACCCACGACATCCCGAGTTGAGGTCAGCAGTACACCACCCCTACTATAAACAGTGTTGGTGGTGTATCGCTTTCCCCCCCTGAGACGCCGGATGGTGGACCAGAATCGCCTCGAAGCCATGCAGAAGTCATTCTCCATGGCCTCCGAACTCCTCCTATGCCTAAGTTTTTGCCTCAGTGACAGCCCAAGCCGCATGTCGCTTGGACTGCCGGTACCATCAGCTGCTTCCAGGGTCCCACAGGCCAAAAAGGCCCGATAGGATTCCTTCTTCAGCCTGACAGCATCCCTCACCGCCGGTTTCCACCACCGGGTTTGAGGGTTGCCGCTGCGACAAGCACAGACAACCTTGCGGCCGCAGCGCCGTTAAGCCGCCTTGACAATAACATGGCCCACTCGGACTCAATGTCCCCCACCTCCCCCGGAACATGCTAGCAGTTCTTCCAGAGGTGGGAGTTAAAGCTCTTTCTCACAGGAGACTCTGCCAGACATTTCCAGCAAATCCTCACAATACGTTTGGGCCTGCCAGGTCTGACCGGCATCCTCCCCCACCATCGGAGCCAACTCACCACCAGGTAATGATAAATGGACAGCTCCGCCCCTCTCTTCATCCAAGTGTCCAAGACATGTGACCACAGATCAGATGAGACGATGACAAAGTCCATCATCGAACTGCGGCCTAGGGTGTCCTGGTGCCAAGAGCACACATGGACACCCTTATGCTTGAACATGGTGTTCGTTATGGACAATCCATGATGAGCACAGAAGTCCAACAACAGAACACCACTCATGTTCAGATCAGGGAGGCCATTTAAATTAAACACCCCTTACCCATTACCTCTGGACACGTTCCATTCCCAAAAGAGTATTGTAATTAGACCTATATTCATTCAACTCATTCAAATCAAATAAACTCATTCAGTTCATTCATTCATTCATATCCCTCTGTACTTTAAGTTCAAGGTAAAGTCAGTTTTATTGCAATTCATATCACATGTGGTACATGAGGTGGAATGAAATTATGTACTCAGGGTCCCAGTTACACCCAAAAATAGCAAAAATATAAAGTATAAAAAGAAACATGTAGAAGCGTACATGTACCACAGCGCTTTAAGGTTGTAATTAAACCTTTACTTAAGAAATCTGACCTTGATTCATAAATTCTGGCCAATTCTTCTTCTTTCGGCTTTTCCCTCTTCAGGGGTCGCCATAGCGAGTCATCCTCCTCCACCTCACTCTGTCCTCTGCATCCTCTGTCCTCACTCCAACTACCTTCATGTCCTCTCTAACTGCATCCATATATCTCCTCTTTGGCCTTCCTCTTTGTCTTTTTCCTGGCAGCTGCATTTCTAACATCCTTCTGCCAATACTCACTGATGCGTATGAGCTGATACTCACCTGTGGAGAGGACGCTGGCATTGTTTGTTTGCCGCTTCTTCGTCTGGATGCTAACATTTTAAAGTATTTTTATTTTTCCCCGATTTTATTCACTGTTGTGGACAGCTTGCGGCTTCAGATGATTTTTTTGTGTAGTTAAAAAACTGTCATTTTGTATTCCTGCTACTGTGTGACGCCGTGTCTCCCTCTTCAGCTAGCATGATGCTAAGCTACTCTGCTGGGTAGCTGTTGAGCCTTAATAACTGCAATGTCCATGTGGATCTTCTGGATGTTTCCATCATCAAAAGGCTGGGTCTTTTTCGACGTCCTCCTTATGCCCACAGAAGCTCCCGGAGAAAACATATTTTTAATCGTACTGGGTCCTCCATACCGGTCAGCTGGTCAGCTGAGCGTTCCGGCGCATGGCGCTCACGTCATCAGAACACTGCGGCTCTTGGGATTTGTAGTCCTGACATGACTACAACAGTTCCTACATTCTCTCAGGCGCAGGATGGAAAACGTGGAGTGGATTTTAATCTTCTCAAGCCTATAAAAACACATGGCTGCGCCTTATCTTAAAATCGAACTTTTCAATGTGTAGTCCTTGACTAATAAAGCATGCCTTATCCAGGAGCACATTCTGGATAAGGATTTGGATAGTATGTGCCTTACAGAGACTTGGCATCAGCCAAACATTTTCTCTGCTCTCAATGAGGCCTGTCCTGCTGGATATAAATATCTCCAGAGAGCACGGGGTTCTGGTCATGGTGGTGGTCTAGCCGTCATTTTTAAAGATCATTTGGACCTTTCTC